ATAGTGACTCAATTAATTGCATCAAATAATTGCATCAATTGCATCAAGGATCTATGAATTTCAGCAACATGTATAATATATATCAATAAAATTTATATTTAATGCTATTTAACTTTAAAAAAAAAATACTATTATTTTATGTACTATTTAAGAAGAATAACCATAGAATTATTTTTATTTTTACTTAATTTTTAAATTTTTAAAATTAAAAAATCATAAATAACTTTTTCTTATTAAAAAATAATATAAAATAATTATATCATAATAATATCTGTATCACTAATATAAATAAGATTATTAATTTTTATTTATAATTTTTTTTCAAACATATTATTATACAAGTCTAAGTTACAATTTAAAATTCAAATATTATATTACTTTTTTATTATCAAGTATACATATATAATTAACAATAATTAGTAGCTAGCTATTATTTATCTTTTATCTTTTTTTCTACTTGGATTCTCAAAGATTTGTATATATATCTTCTATAATTTGCAATAAACTACAATCAATTTACTTACTTTTTATATAAAGATTATTAATATAATGATAATAAATGAAAGTTTAATAATAAATGTTTTATATTTAATACCTGTTTGCAATATATATACATATATATATATTTATTTATTTTTAAATCATTGTGTTAAATATATTTTTCATATTTAATTTATCAGTTTTAAAAATAAATTTGATTTATAAAATTTGATTAAATATAAGAAAAAAAATAAAAAACTTTATTGTTAATAAATGTAAAGTATTAAGTAAATAAATAATTCTTTTACATATATATTGAGTTAAAGAAATTACAATTATTATATTAAAATAATAATATAGAAATATGAAATTTATAAAATATTTTGATATTGAAAGGTTTTAAATTTAAATTAAGATTTGGGTTCTTTCACAGCAAAATCATGCTTAGAATATATAAAATATATAGATTCTAAGCATGGTTTTGCTGTGAAAGGGCTTTTTAAAAATTTTATAAATAGAAAAAATCTTTTGAATAAGTGTTACGTTTGAAGTATATTGTATCAAGCTATTTATTTAGTTACTATTTTTAGATTAACAAAAAACTATTGATTATGATCCAGGGAAGAAAACGATAATAGCAATAACGACAATTAATATGCATTATAAACAATGCATTTCATATAGCAAAAAGAATAATTTGAATATCGACTTTATTACGAAAATTTATTTATTATTTTTTAAAAAAATAATTTACAATAAAATAATACAACTCAGCTCCTCAAATAAAAACGCTCACGTCGCTTGCGACAACGAGCACAACAGAACAAGAATTCACAAGTAATTTAGTATTTAAAGGAACCAAAGAATTTTATACAGGACATTTGAATACAGTACAAACATATACATGCATATATAATAAACACTCTCTATTTGATTGTTTATGCTCAAGCTGCATATTTACAAAAAAGGGTGTCATTAAATAAATCATAATTAAACATTTAAATTACAATATCATACCTTTTAATTCAATATCCAAAGGATCCTAAATGAGACAGAATTAAGTTAATATACATGTACTAACAAGAGATTTTCTAATGATTTTAATATATGATTCACCTTGCCAGCTCGAATTTCTGTGGCACTTGGAAGTAGGCCGAGCCTTAACTATACGTAAAAGTTGGCGTAAGAATTTTCATATTTTGATTTTTAAGAATCAAAAAATATTTCTACAAACCAATTCAGCACAATGGGATGCTACCGGATCTTTTCCCAATGTGGCAACTGCCAAAACTTTATCACCACCTAAACATAACAAAATAATATATTATCGGTATAGAACGCGTTGTGGTAAATCGCTTTCTCAAAACTAATAAAAATAATTACGAGAATAGTAGACCGCAAATTTCAATTCTTCCAAGCTTCCATGCACAATCACATCATCGTAGCTGCTTGCATAACCAGCATATCTTAAACTTTTACCATATTGGGCGCTCCAAAAGTATGGAATTCTTTTAAATGGTACAAGTCGGTTTTTGGCTATCAGTTCTGCAACGGCTCTACCTGTATTCACGGCAAACGACTGAAAGTAGGATATTATTTATTAATAAGATATTACCGCGAAGAAAAAAAAATTTTTTTTAATAAATCAGATACCCAATGTTCAATGCGAAGACTCTCTCCAGTAATGTGATATGGAAATCTTGCAATATC